ATAGATAGATAGATAGATAGATAGATAGATAGATAGATAGATAGATAGATAGATTTATTTAAGTTTTCGCAAGTACTTACATGTATGGTATTCAGCTTTCTTCGGGTATTTTCCCACGTCATTATAGTTGTGCTTTTAAAGTTGTAGCGACGTTTCAGCAGAATCTCATCTGCCATCATCAGGCTTGTGTATACACACACACACACACACCAGGCCAGCACGTCTGATCTTTGAAATGTTTCTATTGCTACTTCCCTCCACCCTCAACCTGGGCACCTCATTCTGCCTAAGAGTCCTGTGATAGTGGTCTTGCCTCCAGAGTGCAGGAAGCGAGAGCCACATCACAACTCTTATGCTATGAGAGGGCTGACAAAGTTGTGGTCATATGAGGTCCTTAAAAACTTGTGCAATCCTTGTGAGCAACAGCAACTGGGACTGCCAGAATTGCTGTTACTAAGCAATGTGATTGTGTTACAACATATTTTACAACTGTGTCACTTAGCACTGGAATTCCTGGTTCCAACTGGAGCACTACAGCATCCATCATTTTTTTTTTTACTTTCTTAGAAGAGAAGACCTTTGTTTTAAATAAATTCAACTCCATTCAATTCAAGTGCAGCAGTGAGCTAGTAGGGAGCCACTGTGAAATTTGGGGGGCACAGCCAGCCCTGGATTAACCATTAAGCAAAATAAGTATGTGGTTTGGGCACCAAGGGAAGGCAGCACCACGGAGCATTTTCGTTATAGCTATATATCCTTAACTATTTCACACAACTGTAGCTTTCAGCACTTACTGAATCTTAATATCTTGTCCATTAAGCGAAGGAAGGTGGGAGACAGCCTTATTGGGCTGTGTTTCTGCTGGCATTTACCTGCAGATAGCAACCATCAGATGGCCACTCTCTGGCCTAAATTCTGTACTACACTGTTTTTCCACTTCTTCTTATAGGGATCTCCCATTCAAACCCAGCACTTTTATTATTTTTTATTCCACTTTTTTCCATGTACAAAGTGACAAAAATAACTAATAGTCCTTTTTCCTCCTATTATTCCCCACAACTCAGCTGGGCTGAGAGTGAGTGCTTTAGAAGTCACCCAGTTGGTTTTTCATGCCTAATAAGGGACTAGAATTCACAATCTCCTGGGTTCTAGGCCTGCACCTTAATCACCATACCAAACTAACAGCACGTGATGCATATGTATTCTGAAATAAGTCCCATTGTCTGTCTTCACACAATTCACTTAACCAGGTCAGGTCAAGCACTTTTGGATGCACTGATGAATATTAATCTTAGACTTAGGCTATACCACTTTGGGCCACAGAAGAGAAATAAAATTTTAAATACACACATATTCAGAAAAAAATAAAAAGAACTGAGTGGAGTTGAACTCATTTAAAACACATCTTCTTTTCTTAGAAAGTAAAAAATGATGGACACTAGTCCTCGAATTAGACAGCTATTGGAACCAGGAATTCCATTGCTAAGTGACGTGGATGTAAAATATGATGAAACATGATCACATTGCTTAGTAACAGCAAATCTGGGAGTCCCAGTTGCTGTTGTTTGCAAGGATCGTACACATTTTTAAGCAAGGCAAGGACCTCACGTGATCACAACTTTCAACTTCCTACCTGCTTCCCCATTGACTTTGCTTCTGGGAAGCTGGTAGAGAATGTCAGAAATCAACATCTTAAGTTTGAACAGTCACTGAGTGAGTGATTGTAACCCAAGGACTACTTGTAGTCTAGCTCATCCACTGTGGGGTCCTTGGTGCTCTCTGAGCTTGATGGTTTTCTTGAAGACATTTTATTACCAAATGTACATCATTAGTGCTTGTTTGCTAATGAAATGTCTGCAAGAAAACCACTGGCCTCAGAGACCACTAAGGACTCTACGTTCAACTCTGAGCTACAAATATTCTCTTCTAAAGTCAACTGTAGAATACAGGAGAAGGTATTTAGAAAAGAGTCAAGAAAGTTTGTTTTCTGATAAATGATATGATTTACCATGTATACTGCATAGACTTTTTTTTAGGTTTCCCTCTCCCATTGCTGTCAATTTGTAAGGATCCATATAATACGCTTCTTCAAATCCATGGGTATCCCTGAGCTGTTAATTTGTGAAGGTAGTGATGCTTTGGGACAGCAGAATATATCTTTCTACCCAACATCCATCTTGGTTGAGCAGAATATATCTTTCTACCCAACACACATCTTAGTCGAGTTGTCACCTGCGAGTCTTGCTGCAAGTGGTTTCCTCTTGAAGGTGATAACTCAACCAAGACCTTGGCACTGATATGAGTAAATAAATAAAAACCTCAGGGTTCCATTCCAATCCTGGGCAATCGTGCAGTAATAGCGATGAAACCAATCAGAGGTTGTTCATATATTTTTAAAAAGTAAGAAAAATCTTTTCTTGTACGATTCAAACTCCGATGCCTCAGGTGGCCACTTGCTTGTGTCAAGTGACGTAGTAAGCTGCTAAATGATACCACCTGTTCCTTTTCTGAGTTCAGAAACCAGCCCAACCGGTTTGGGAACTTTTGTGCATCTTTGATTTAGTGGGGTGTTGGTGTTGGTGGAGAAGAGGAGTAGGACCTTGATCCTTTGCCCAAGGCATCCTTTTTTTTGGGGGGGGGGGGAACCATCCTATTTTAGGACTCTGTCTTCCTGGATGAATGAAGTGTCTGTACCCATCTGGGATTTTTCAGATGCAATAGTTCCTAGCTAGCATAACCAAAGCCTAGATTAGATAAGCTTGGCTGGTTTGTGCTAGGGTTTCTCCTAGTTGACACCTCCTTCCCACCTCCCTATTTGACAGGTCGAGAATGTTGAGAATTTAGAGAGATTCTTAATCATTCCAGATCATCCGTCCCCAAAAGCTTTTTCGAAAGGCAACTGGTTTTTTTTTCATTTCAACAAAACGTCTTCCAGAAAAGAAAAAAACAACAACTCCAAGTTGCATTTTGGAAAACCATCTTTGTGACAACCATGACCTGCATGAGTGAGAACCTCCATAGACAGCCAAAGATCATGGCTGTTCCAAAAAGCAACTTCTTAGTCCTTGAAAACACTTCGCTTCTCCTCCATCAAACCCGTTATGAAGAAGCTTCTTGCGAGAGAAGGTAAACCAGAGAACTCCAAACCTGGCAACTTAAAGACTTGTGGACTTCAACTCCCAGAATTCTCCAGCCAGCAACTCCCAGAATTCTCCAGCCAGCATAGTGGCTGGAGAATTGTGGGGGTTGAAGTCCACAAATCCTAAAGTTGCCAGGTTTGGAGATCCCTGAGGTAAACGTTTCCAAGGGGTGGGGGTGGGGAGTCCAAATTGCCTCATGAAAAAAAAACACCTTCGGGACAACATGCCTGAGCTTGGAAAAAGAAACAAAACCGAAGAACGTCCAAGTTGCCTCATGAAAAAACACCTTCGGGACAACAAGGAACAGAGCTCGAAAGCAAGGCCGACGGGGAAACAACCCGGCGGCGAACCGAACAGGGCAGGCGCTAGGATCCCGCGGCCCTGTTTGGAAGTGGCGGCGGGGCTGCAAGAAAGCCGCTGTTTCCCAGTGCCGAGCAGTCAGAGAGGAGTTTCCCGCGGCAGCCGCCGCAAAAGCTGCGGAGGCGAAGGGAGCTTCGTTTGGCGGGGAGGAAACTGGCTTTTCAGGCCCTGCTAGCGAGGATGTGGCAATTCTCTCTTTTTTTTATCCTTCTCCCTTTTTGCCGACTCGGCTGTTGCAAGGCAACCCCGCATGGGAGATGACGGCGAGGATGGCTCAGAAGGTCTTGAGCAGCGCGGCGGAGAGTTTCCCCGAGCAGCCTCGGGAAGGGAAGGACGGCGCTCCGATGGACGACGGCCACCCCATCAAGCATGAACCCCAGCCTTCCGAGGGGCAAGCCTTCAAGGTTTACAAGCGGCGCTGGTTTATCCTGACGGCCGTCTGCATAGTCAATTGCTCCAATGCGATGGTAAGGTACAGTTAGCTGCCCGGGCAGTTTCGCTTTTCCTCCCTCCCGCCGCTTCTCCAATGAGCCGGTCGGGACTCTCTTATTATTTTTATTTTGACTTTTTATTTTCCTGCTTTCCCATTTCCCGACCCGATCCGTCCTGGCTCATTTTTTTTTTTTTAATTCACTGCTTTGCAAACGCCCGTCTTGGGGTACACCCGTAACAAAGACGATCCGAGGCGGTTTGTAACCTCGCGGTTGCAAACACACGGCGCTCCGGCAACCCCTTCGCCGCCGCACGCTCCGAGGTTGGCTTGGTTCCTTCGCCCGAAGGGTTGGGAGATTGTTCTACCGGCGTCCCGAAAGCGAAGGAGGAAAGTGATCCAGCTGCGATTCCCAGCCCAGGCTCCTTCCAGATGTGCGGGGATGAGTGAGGGCTTGGGTTTGTAAGAGATGCTTGAAGTTCCCCACATCTTTTTCCCTGCTTTTCGGGGGAAAGCCCCTTACATATTTCCACAAGCGGGGGTTGCCTGCAGGCTGATCTGAGACCGATGGAAGAAACGTGAGAACGTGCGATTCATTTCATGGCTTCCTTCATAGCGATGTCGGACTGAACGAATTGGGTGTCTCTTTAATTAATTAATTCCATTGCTTTTCACTAATAGCCCCTCTATTGATCTTTATAACAACTCCCTGAAGCAGGCTGAAAGATTAACCCAAGTGAAGTTCATGGCGAAGTTTGTTCGTTTGTTTATTTATTTATTTACTTACTTATTTATTTTGATTTGTCAATCGCTTACAAGATAATAGGTATAAGTATAAACATAGTTATGAATACATGAAATGGATACATATAAGAAAAATAAAAAGAATCAATAGGACAGGGATGGTAGGCACCTTGGTGTGCTTATGCATTATTATTTACCCTAATAATTCCCCCCCCCCATCAGATAATCCCCTCATTCAGATAATTCAGATAATCCTCTAGTTCAGTACCCTCCACAACCTTTTTTGGGCATCAGGGACCAGTTCCCTGGAGAGAGTTTTTTCCATGAACCAGAGGGGTTTCGTGTGCTGTTGGCATGTTTGTGTACTGTTTCTGGCATGCCACAGACCTAGGGTTGGTATCCCTGCCATAATGTCATAATAAAAGTTTAAGAATTTTGAAAAGTGGAGATGGAGACATCTGGAAGGCAGTAGGCTTGGAAAACAATAGAATAAGAGGATTTCTTTTGAAATTCTACTGTATTCAATAAGAGCCTTGCTTTATTATAGATTTTACTTATGACTTGGATGTAAAAAAACAAACTGATAAACATTAATTATAAAGAACCTCTGACCATGTGCAGAATGCACTTTCCTTCTTAGTACTTTGAACCCAAGTGAAGGGCAAAGGCTTCACCCACATAATCTAATTCACTTTAAAAGCCAACAGAGACTGAATAAAAGAATTGATTGTTTTGTTATAGCTATTTTTTGTATACCAACAGAGTCTTAATATTCTAAAGATGCTTAATTTTCTGGGATGTGCAGAAGATGGGGAGAAAATAAATCAACAGGATAAGATGTCTTCATTTTGTTTTTCATTTCTGGAATCACAGACGGCTGATCTAACTTATTTAGAAACTTTCCTAGTTTTTTCTTTGAAGAAAATACCAAAAGCTTTTTGGGCGAGAAGCAAAATGTCTTCAAAGGAAAACCAAAAAAGTCCAGTTGCCTCTTGAAAAAGCACCTTTGGGACATGTCTTATTTTATTTATTAAATTTATTTATTTATTAAATTTGTTTGCTGCCCATCTTGCCACATATCTTATTAGTGATATACAAGTTCATTTCATTCCTTGCAAAGTGTAAGACCCAATATTTTTTTGTTTTCAAGTAATCTAAAAGAGCAGCTCTTTCTGCAGCATATAGTTTGCAGTCCAAAATAATATGTCCAATGTCTTAAATGGGTCATGTGCCACAAATGCACAGCCTTTCCATAAATGGAATTCCATGAAAACTTTCATGTCTTATTGTGGAATCCAGTTGTTAGAAGTGATCTATAGAAAAAGCTCTTCTCAGATTTGCATGTAAGCTGTTAGATGCTTTTCTAACTGGAAGGCAGGTATTTGTTGAGCCAGCCACTTCAAAGACTTAGCAAATTTAAGTGCTTTAATATCATCTTAGGCAACCACATCAATGACAGGAGCTTATCGGAAATGTCCCTTGCTGGAGAGTGAAAAAGTGCAATTTCCCTCTGGTCCATGCTTGCAGACTTCCTTAAAAGCAAAGGAATATAAGCCACATTTTGCTGACTCAAGGCAATAGCCCACCTAGCCCAGCCATCTGTAAGATGTGATGCCCAAGCAGATGAATTTAGGAATTGCTAGCTCACCAACACTGCCACTCCCCAGCAGCTGCCATTAAAAGGCCGGTGATTTTGGAGGCAAGATACAGCCACCCAAAGTCAATTCTCCATGAATCAAGCCTTTGAAACTTATTTTAAACTGATGGCCATCATTAGACAGCAGTAGCAAATTCCAGTGTCAATGCCCCATTGTGCAAAGAAGAATGCCCTTTTATCGTGGAGGCAGGATATGCTGGATGAACCCAAGTTCTAAAGCTATGGAGGAGGGAGAAAAACACTAATTTTCATACAGCGATTGTTTGGAGAGAGCCTACACAATCTTTTTAAATTTCTTTTAGTATCATGAAAGGTTTTGAGAGCCCTGATATCAAGAACAATTAAGACTCAAAGCCAGGTTACTTTGGAAGGCACACTCCAGATCCTTCTGGATTACTAAGAGTTCAGTGATTATGGAGTCACTGTACAAGGAGCGTTCTGAATCTCAATTGTCTCATTAATCTAGCTATAAAAATAATCTGTGTAATTAGGTCTGTAGGATCATTGGCTTACAAGGATACACAATACTGCGGCTTGCTTAGCATATGGTTTAAGTGTTTAAACGTGGGTTTATTTGTTAAATGTGTTCGCATTGAGGTATTATGCCACACATGTTGGGATTAATGTTGATTGATGGCTACTTTTCATGTCGTATACATTTAATGAGCATCAATTTAATGTATGAAACAAGGGACACCATATTTATGGATCCTATCACCCAGGGTCTGTCCCTAGGCTTCCATGTCTTCTGAAATTTCTGTGTTCCCACCACTAGCCTTGATCATGGCAATGATTACAGGCATTCATGCGGGACTTCTTTTCGGCCTCTTCAGATGCTTTCCCATGTCTGCATCCTATTTCTGGCTACAGAATGGAAGCTGCTACATTGATTTATACTACTACTGTTCTGCAACTTATCTTTTCCTTTTCGCCAAGGTATCAATCAGCTATCAGCATCAATAGCTGCTGAACATCCACAAAGTAAAGTTTGTTTTCACGTACAAATATGAGCACGTGACTGACTTGTTAATTGACATGTTCAATAGAACTTGGAGCTTTTCAGATGTTGCTTGACTGTAGTTCTTAGCAGTGTGAACTAGCATAGTCAGTTGTGATGATCTGGGGCGTGGCACAAAAGTAACACAGTCAGATATCAGTAGGAGTCCCTTTATTAGCTCCAACTTTGCCCCCAATGTCATGGTTACCTTCTGGTTGGAGAAAAACTCTCCTAGGAACAGCCTTTGGCTACAGAGAATCAAGTCCAAAATGTGGTCAACAAAAGCTGTAACTATAAGTCCAATCAAGGCAAAATGAGGTAATTAGTCCGACAGGAGCAAGAATTCCAGACGTGAAGGCATGGCAAGAACTCAACACGGTTAGGAAGATGCCAGGAACACAGATAAGCAAAGGCAACACAAGATAAACTCACATTTGTTCCCAGCAGCTGCCGCACTCAGCATGCATTTCTTTTAAACTCTCTTCCCAGCTGTGGCTAATAAAGGGAATCAGGGCCCTTTCCTCCCCCATAAGCCACACAACCCACATTGCTCTCTTCTCCATTCCCCCCTGCGTGCCCCAGGATGAAGGGGTGGGTGGACCTGCGTCTTCTTCTGAACTCCCTCTCCCTTGTTCTACCTCTGCCCTGCTCTGCCCAGCCGGACTTTGCCCTTCCCCAGTTTTCTCCCCAGCCAACAGAGCCATACTCCCACTCCCTGTCAGCTGTTCATCTTCCTCCTCAGATTCAGACAGGGGCATGACAGCTAATGGTGAAGGATGCTGGGAGTTGCTATCTAACAATTTCTGGAAGCTCCACAGGTCTCCATTGCTATATAGAAGCAAAATAAAATATATTACCATTAGTTTACAATTAGGGAGTTGGGAAGGCTTCTCTCCCATAAACAGGCTACACAGGTTTTCAGCTTTCTCTAAATTCATTGTAATGGGAAAGAGGAACATTTTAACATCCTATCTGGGATGAAAAGAATTGGAGATTTCCATCCTTTGCTGAAGGGTCATCATTCCCAAACAGCAGCCCTTCAACCTAGACCAGACTGGGATGCTATGAATGCTAATAGTACTTTATTATAAGGTTACAATAACAGAATCTTGTAAGTCTGATTGTACCCTATTTCTTTATCTTCAAAAGAACCAGGAATGTCTGAGACACTTCATCAATTTATGTTTCTGCTTCAGACTCAAATTTCTTTTATCTAACTTGGTTGCGTCTCTTTCCCTTGTTCCTCAAGGTTATACTGATTTCCCATTACAGGTGGATGTGTATTTTGAAATTGCCATAGATAACATTTAGGTCAAATCTTTATTGTAATCATAGACCAACATATATAACATGAAGTTTGCCTTAATGGCTCAGATCCATAAGTTTTGCTATTCTCGTTCTAATAGCAAGCAGCTTAATGCTCTAGGAGTATTTATAAGGAGGGTATGGTGGCAAATCGCTGATGTTCTGACATTTTTTCTAGTCACTTCACATCTCTTCAATGAAACTAATTAAATGCCTAATTAAGACACACAGAGGAGTTGCCTCTCTCCTTATTCCTACAAGTAACATTTCAAAAGAAGTGCAGATACCAAGAAACACCCAGCCAGGCAGGGAGGAGGACTGAAATGGGGAATTA